TATGATGGTCCTCAAACATGATGCTAACTGGTAAGTGATACAAGCATTTTGAAAATGTAAATGCTATGTCAATGCTGACTGTCATAGAAATTTACATAGTACCTTTCTTCTGGTGGAAAAATCATAAAAATGGTATCTCAAGGGTTGATACAATTCAAACTGCTTTTTTGCTTTGCAATTCTGTTCCTTCAAGGAACTCCTGGGGAAATCAGAAAGAGGGACACTATTTTGACAGTTCTTTTCCCTCTAGTCATTTGCCCAGTTGGAAAGTAGGGTGGGGAGTCAGAAGAGCACGTGTGCTGGGGTCCTTCGTGTATCCTTAAGGCTAATTAACCCAGACTTAGGGTGAAGCACTGAGTGAGTTCCTTCTCAACGGAAAGTTGAGTGTTATCGTTTGAACACCCAGCCCATAGTTTTTTTGTTATTTTTCAGCAATCCTTGGCAAAGGGATTGAGGGAGTGTAGAGATACATGATTTTTTAGAATTATTAAGGAAACTACTAAACGATGGTTCCTCTGGAGGAAAGGGCACATGCAAAATAATTATAACAAAAAGTAGAATAACTAATACATAGAAAATAACTGATAGTGACCACAGAACTACATAGAACTAAAGACAACAATGGTTTGCTAAGTGCTGTTATTAACAAGAGGTGTGACATCTGGATAAGAAACAGCAAGATCAGAGGTGCTGTGCGTCACGGTGGGGTTTGTGCAGGTGGATGGCCACAGCCTCGGCAGAGATGGGACTCACTTGGGATGGGGTCGTGCTGCAGCCAACAACTCCTTCTTCTCCCGGCCGATTACCTCCGGTTGCCCCAGTGCCTGCTCAGAGCTTGGTTCATAAAAACTGTGTACCAATATGTTCACTGTACACAGTTCCTGAAATTAGAAAGAGATCGGGATGGTAAACACTTGGGACATCCCCATGAGAGAAGGCTGCATCCTCCATGTCATGTCAGGGGACAGTAGCCACTGACATGGGGAAAGTGTTTGGATTATACTGCTCAGTGAAAAGTAGCAGTCTCCAAAACAGGAGCTACTGTCTTGTTCCACTTTTGTTCAAGGATGATCTCATTTTACATACGTGACAAGATCTACTCAGGTTTTGATGGGGGTTACCACTGAGTGATGATCTTATAGGTGGTCCTGTTCTGGGGGGAGGTGTGTGTGTGTTGGGTCTTTTCTACATAAGTATAAGGTGATAGGCTAAAAGCTCAGATTTTAGAGTTGGAATGTGTCCCTGGCTTTGCCACTTGGGTGACTTCTTTGAGTCATTTAACCTCTCCAAGCCTCAGTCTCCTGATTTCTACAGCGGATCAGTAATGGTAGCTACTGTATAGGATCGTTCCCAACCTTAATGCATATTTTATAAAGGAGGAAGTGCTATCAAGGAAGGGAGGGGGGAAGGTAGGAGGGGAGAAATTAGTTCACTCTGTAAAAGCTGCCTTAAGATCCAAGCCCACAGCCGGGGCTCGTGGTGGGGGCCGCAGAGCTGGGTGCCGCCAGGGCCAGAGCCGACTTCTCTGCTCGGCAGGTCTCTACTTGGGGTATTTGGCCTAAAGAACAAATCCCCCTCCCCACCCACTAGTCTCCCAGAGAAACTGCCTTATTTATATTCCAAAGGGCTTCTCAGCTGAAAATGCCAACACTTATAAATATTGGATGAGAGTGAATTAAAACTACCAGTGGAGTCTAAATCTCTCCTGTGGTTCTGAGGAGGGGGTGTTCAGAGACAGGATTTAACTCATCCCAACAGGCTTGAAAATGGGTCTGTGCTTCCTCCCGGAGCCAGACTATGCTTTCCCCCAAGGAATCCACACCACCGAGTCCCCGCACGCTGCACTGAACAGCAGCCCTTGACTTGACGCTGCCACATTCAACAGAGAGGCTGAGGAATGAACCTAATTATTCACAAAGCAAAGGTGATGAGAAGACAAATGCCAACCTGAGAAAATGGGAAAGTGGAGAGCCCATGCTGCTGTGTCCCGTGATTGTGCCTAAGTAGAGATGGCTCATGCCTCAGCATTACTGAAGAAGCTTCTGTAGCACCTTGACTCTGATTTTATTTTTCCCTGAATGCAAATTATGCTTATCTTTCAAATTAGCCTTCTCTAAAAAGGCTTCTTCTTTTTTTTTCTTTTCCTTATCCAAGCAAGTCAACATTATAGTGGTTCAGGTTTTGGAAAGCAAGAGCATCCTATGTGCTGTTGGGAAAAGAACAGCATGGAAATTTACTTGGAACAATTACTCCTAGCATCATTAGTAATGATGGAACATCCTCAAACTGAGTGGAGTTTTACATGATTCGTTTAATATTGTAAAACAACTCAATAACATTTTGAAAGTAATGTGGGGTTAATTAAGTTTCTGAATTTCATTTGACTTTTTGAGTTTTAGTGTTCCTTTTATTCTGGTTTGGAGATTCAGCTAGAACTGTATTTGCTGATTGGCTGTTACAAAGATAACGCTTGGGAAAAGATGTCTTCATTCAGAACTGCTCATAGCTTGAAAGTTATATTCATTCAACAGACAGTGGTTGATCACCTCCTAAGGCATCAAGAGAAGTTGAGATCTTGACCCTTGAAATCTCAGAACTATATTGAGCTGTGCTGAGTTTTCAGTAGCCCATTCTCCAAAAGGAAGCAACGCGCTGTTCCAACACCTTGATCCCTAATAGCAGGTGGAAATCACAGCCTGGTTATACTTATCCCTCAGTGTTCTCTAAACCCATGATCCTATGAGACTTGTGTGTATCTGCACTAATTTAAAGCCAGCACTTGACTGGGTGAAGAATCTGTAATTGCTAGATCAAGTACCAGTGAGTTTTTCCCACGTTTGAATTTCTCTCAGTATCTAATCCATGCCACGCGTTCTACAACTCAATTAGACACTGCTGTTTTACCTCCTGGTTGTCCCACGTGTGCCTCCTATTTCCATGATCAGGCGCCAAACCTTCCCGGGTCACCTCTGCCACATTCTGAGCACTCTGGGGCAGCATAAGTGCCTACTAATATGAAATTCCTCTGCACGGTACACAGTCATATTAAACTACGGTTTAGGGATATAAATAGGGTAAATCCCTCATTTCCCCCGCTGTCATAAAGAATGGCTTCCATGAGCATTTTCTCTCTCCCAAGACATTTTGTGCCCAACCAGAGGCTGACACACCATATCAAGTAAAATATGCGTCTGTTTAATCTCAGATGGAAAACATATTCGTTCTGAATATATTATGAGACTTGAAAAATGGTCCAGAAAATCTGGGAACTTTAAGGAACAAAGAAAAGCTGCTCCTTTGCCTCCTCAATCATATTGAGATCAGGAAATGGAAATACCAGCTGATGTTCAAAAAAAATCATGATGTTGAGGAACATATATTAGCTTTACAATCCAGCAAGTACATGGGATATGAATAGACATGACACTTCAGGGTTTCAGTTTAAAAAGAAAAAAACACTATTGAATCTTTAACAGAAGAGTGTTAGGATGTGCTTGATTATTCTTTCAGTCAGTGATGCCTTGAGCAGATAAACCGAAGAGCTCTGACATGTGCACCTGCCTTTTGATTTTGCGGGTGGTAGAGACACCTCCATTTGTAGAAGATGCAGAGTGAACAGAGTAGACAGAAGCTGGCCCAGGAAGAGTTCCTAAAACTCCATGTCCATCCTCCATCATCCCTGCCACAGCGCCCTGAACTGAAAGGCACCGGGTTGGTGAATTAAGCTGAATTCCCTGCTGTGTACACAGAACTGTTAGTGCTCAATAAATATTTACTGACTTAAATTTACGGACAAGACTGGATTTTCACTCTCCTAAACTGAGAGTGGGATTCTGTGCTAATAAACATCTCTTCCTGAATTATGCATTTCTTTGCCCTCTGGTTTGCTCTGAGCTGTACACCCCAGTGTATACCCTTTGTCTTAATGGCTGCAGTTAAAAATCTACCTCATTTTAATTGACCTTTAGGAAAACTGAGGATGTCATCTATTTCTGGATTCCAGAAAGAAGTTACACATACCCTAGGTCCCTTCTTCTCTGACCGATTGGAACTGCCTTTTCCCACGTGAAATTATTGCTTATCCCTCCCACCCCCAACTCCAGCCCGGTCTTTACAGTCTTGTGAGTCACCAGCCGGCACCTGGAACGTGTGGTCGGTGTGTGCAATCGACCAGCGTGGCAGAAGCAACTGTCCGGCAGCCTCAGATTCCTCCTTTCTTTGTTTTCACTCTTTCAGGACTCTGTTTAGTTACTCAGATCAAATCGCCTGACAGGCCACTTTTGTCACGTTTATGTTGATTCCTTGCTGGGTGAAAGAGTGGGGAATGAGTGTTTAAGGTGCTAAAGAAAAAGCTGTGAGGCACGGATTCTCCAGTAATGAAAACTGCTGATAATCACCAACAGAGGAGATATGTATTCCACTGTTGACATGCTAGAAAACCTCCAGATTAGGGCACAGGGAACTGTATTCAATATCTTGTAATAACCTATAATGGAAATGAATATATATCTGAATCACTTTGCTGTACACCTGAAACTAACACAATATTGTAAATCAACTATACTACATTTTTTTTTTAAAAAAAAGGCCAGTTCCTTGTTGAGGAGAGCTACATTACTAAGCACATTACTGATCTTTTCATTGACTGCAACATCGTATGGAAATTATTCTAGAAGTAAAAGAAAAAGGAACATGGTGCACATATCACCATCTGAGGGTAAATCAAAGCGCAGGATGTGAATCAGATCTGACTTGAGAAGCCATGATCTTGTCACAGTCTAGAGCCATAAGTAACGAAAAGCTTAGTCTTCTTTTTTTCCCTTTGTATTCTTTTTTGGGAACAAAGTAACCCCCTGAGAGTCCTCTAACTTAAATATTTGGCTTCCCTGAATGCCAACTGGGATGGCTGCAGACCATGAGTGTTGCTGCGGGTATAGGTGGCTGATGGCACGTTCACAGCCTTGACCCAGAGGCTGACTGGGATTTCCTTGAACTCCTAGGAGCCGAGGTGACCTACATGAACATGACTGCCTACAACAAGGGCCGGCTGCAGTCCTCCTTCTGGATCGTGGACAAACAGCACGTTTACATCGGCAGTGCCGGTTTGGACTGGCGATCCCTGGGACAGGTAATCTTTCCTTTATCGTCAAAACAGCTACCTCCCTAAAGCATCCAGTCACCTGTACTGTAGGGAAATAAAACCTACAGCATGTATTATTTTTAACTGCGTAGCTTTAGTAGGGTCACCTTGATTTAAAGTGAAATGATAAACCTTTCCTTGTCAGAATCATCTTACCAAAAAAGCTGCCACCGTGGCTTAGGGGCTTTTGTAAAATTCAGGTGCTGCTCCCAGATTCTTTAGAGAATGCGGGTGTGTAATTTGTATTACACAAAGCTGAATTTTCAGGATGAGATCACATAATCTATCAGACAGAGGAAAACATGCAAATTCAGTCTAGGATTGTATGTTGTAGAATAATAATTTGTGTTATCCCTTTAATAAATCTTAAGATGAAGATGTTACCATCTTTCTCTTTGCAAATGATTAACTTCAAATATCTTGAAAATACACTTGAACTTTTTTTCTTTAATTTTCATGTATTTATTTGTGCCAGAGGTGATGCCTAGAGGATTACAGTCACCTCTTTCCTTCCAAGCAGTGGCAGGAAGTTTTCCATTACTGGGTGCATAAGAATGGCCAGTCAAACGTGCACGCACAGAGTCCATACATACTACGTCTCAGCTGAGCTCTTGTGACATTAACATCACTGAGATAACAGTGAATTACACTGCACCTTATTTGTCCCTATGGGGCGAAAGCACTGATGTGCAGACAGACACAAGGACCATAGCTTGAAAGACAACACCACATAGGATAAATCTGAGAGAGGGTAACATTATGTTTGCACTGTTAGCTTCAGGCATGTAACCATTTGCCTCCCGATTTCCACCCTTCTCCTGTTCTCTTTCTTAAGCTGCCACCTTTCATGCACACACGCTCCATCTAGCTTTCCTCTTTACATGGGTGAGGCAAATATAAGTGCTCAGGTATAAAAGAAATAGGCAAATGAAATACTAAAACCCCAGTTATTTCCCTCTCTGTGGAACAGTGTGGAGCCAAAGTACAGCTTATCCAAGGTGGTTTCCTAGTTCTGTCAGTCAAGGGGAGCAGAGTAGCCTAGTCCCGCGGGCCAAGCGCTTGGTGTCTCGAATAAGACAGACAGTCCCCCTTCCGAGCAAAGGAGGGGACACTGAAAGAAAACTTCGTGTTTCATTTTGGATGAAGACATTGTCAAAGGTTTATGTTTACTAGGAAGTTTGGTGCTACCTACTGATATAAAAATGATTCTGAATGAAATAATAATATCAGTACTAAAATAGCAACAATAACTAGCTTATATTGAATGCCAGGTGCTGTTCTAAGCCGTGTAAATGGATTGTTTAATTTAAACCACACAATGACCCTAAGAGGTAAATACACCCGTTACAAAGAAAGGTAGACTTGATCTGAGAACTGAGTTCTGATATTGAATGTTTTAAGCTAATTTCTTCCAATATGAATTCAGATATGAAAGATAAAAATTTTAATTCTGTATATTGATGCCTGATGGCCCTTTAAACACACACACAAAAGAAAATAGTGATTATGGCAGTGTTGGCTTATCTCAGAAACAAGACGTGAGGCAATGATAGTATAAAGTTCTGTTAACTTAGACTATTTAGAGAAAAACAGTCTGCTTTATGGAAATCTCTGAGTCTATCTTTTGCTTTTTTTGTACTTACAAAGAACTAACCAATAAGCATCGTTTGCCCAGAAATTTTCAGCTGGTTCTCCTACATTAAATAGATAAAAATTGGTTCTGTAACAATATTAATTATATGTAAATTCTGCAAGTGGTTTTTAACTTGAGCATCATTTGCTTTTTTTTTTCTTCTTTAGAAAATGTACTTCCCCACCACCACATTTTATTTTCTTTGTCGTTAACTGATAGGGTCTTAAGTTATAGGAATTCCATTTGAATGAGGTTTGAATTATTGAGGTTTAATGCTATTGTTCTCCAAATTTGTAAGCAAGTTATCTTGATTTTCTTTATTTCCTTCTACTCCTTCCTGTATATTCAAGGGCTTGTTTCCTTGCTTGAGGATTATTCCTTTGTCTTTTTTGGTCATTGCTGTTGTTGGTTTTGTAGGAAGGTAGACTGATCTTTTAAATATTTATTCTTTATCTATGTCATCATTTGGATATTATTTCCTTTGGAAACCATTGTAAAACATGGAAATTTCCCCCTTTTAAACATGGTAAATACAGAGCAAAGATAAGGTGCAAGTTATTTCTTATTATTCCTATGAAAAATACAAGCTATCTTACGCTGTTCCCTGGTTTACACGTTCCTAAATTGTAGCTAGTTTCCCTTCAGTTATGGAGACGACCAGAGGGAGACACGGTTGAGTGCCTGGACCTGGTTCTCTGTTTCCTTTCATAAGGACCGGTCAACTCCTTGTGCTTCATTTAATGCCATTCTCAGTAGGAACTGGAGATTTACAGCCTCTCCACTGTTGCTGTTGCGTGCCTTTGGGTCCTCCAGGTGTGTCTAGAAGACATGTCCCTCTGACCTGGTCCCAGGCTGCTTTGTTCTCAGCTCCTAAACCTCATGATGGGAGGGAGAGGAAACAAAGTGGACTTCTTAGATTTCTCCACTTCAGCTCAAATCTACCAACAAAGTTATGCTTTTAAAAGCCTCAGTGAATTAACATGCTATTTCTTAGGTATGGAATGCATGTATTATAAGAATTTTAAAATAAACTCATTTTCTAATCCAGAACATCCCCTTAAAGAGAGGGCAGGTGAAGGGTCCCACGCGCCAGCTGCCCATGGAAACAAGTCTTTGGGGAAGGACAGCCCGGGGTTGGTTGGGGAAAAGGCTGCAGGCCTTAATAAGATGAGGAAGCCACCAGGGGCTTCCTGTGGGGACTTCTATCGTGGAAACCTGCTTTCTTCTGTTGGTTGCAAATTTAATAGCAGGTAAGACACCATTGGGATCAGAGATTGGGAGGAGGTGAAGAAGATATCTTTGTGTCCTTTCTTCCAAAAGGCTGCTGTATCTCTGTGCCAGGCACTGTGGTCATAGCTCTATGGACACTTCTTCATTTGTCATAGCTACCTAAGAATGGCTGTCGTCTCCAAACCAGAGCAGATCCCATTGCTGCTTCTAAAATAGTAGAATATTCACTAACCTATGTAGGAATTAGGCATTTGGTGACGACTCTCATAACCCTTAGATGGATGGTTAAGTTAGCCAAATCTGCAGCGCTCATTTCATTCCTGGCAACTTGCGATTCAGTTACGAACCCACCCAAAGCGGCCATATTCTCATCTTTCACTCCCAAATCAAACTCTTAAAACCTAAAATAAATTTCATTTCTATTTTCTTAATAATCTTTCCTATTTTCCTTTTGGAAGACACTATATTCTTTGATGGGCTAGAGAAGAGACATAGCTGGGGAGGGGGAAGAGTTTGAAATCCTTCTGCAAGAACATCTGACATCCTGTTGGCTCCCCTGCATCCATATGTCAACCGCCAACCTACCTCCCTTCCGTCAGCACCCACCCCTTCTCTGCCTCCTAGCCACACTTAGGCACAAATGCTGTGTCTTACTTTGTCCATCCTTCCCTCTTAGCTCTTGCTGCTTGGGGTCATGTTATTACACTTAATCGTCTGTGTTAAATTAGTTTTCCTTTCAGCTGTGCTTGAGTGTGTGGGCTTTTTCTTTTACCTCATGTGACATAAAACATCGCACAGCAGGGCCCGTGGGTTAGAACAGATTTTCATTTGAGCAAAGCTGTGTTTGAGGCTAACAGTTACATGAAGAATTAAAATACATTTCCCAAGTGTCAAGCTCAACCTCTTCCATTAGCCTTGCGTTTTGTGACGTTTTCTAGCGAAATCAGATTATTGCTATCAATTACTGCCTTAAATCTATAGTAAGTAGGAGAAATAATACAAGTAATAATAATAACAGCTTTAATGTCTTGATGGCTTTCTCCATGCTAGGCATTCTTCCAAGCATCAAAGATTATGAACTCACTGAATTTTAACGATAAGCCTTTCTTGTAAATACTACTATCATCACTTTATTCTACAAAGGAGGAGACAGTCACCGATCAGTAACTGACCCAAGATCACCGTCCAAGGGGTGGCAGAGCAAGAATTCAACCCCAGGCCATCTAGTTCCAAACCCTTCATTCTTACTTGAGCACTAATAATTTTTTTTAAATAAATTACATTTATAAAAAATCATTTTCCCTCATGACTTTGCTGTGATACTAAACTATAAATTTCCTCTCACTGTTTTCTCTAAGAGAAGCTAACAGCGCTATTCATGGAGACACCCTTCACTCATTCACATCCTTCTGATTGCAGACCTATGGATGACATGACTTGGTGGCCACAGAATGATGCCTGCTTTTGCTCAGTACTTGAGTTCTACAAACTCACTTAACCTCTGGGTTGAATGTCAAAGATTAGGAAGTCAGTGTGTGCATGCCTCTACATCATTCTCCTGCAGTGGATCAGGGTGCTCCCCCTGGGATCCGTGGCCACAGGGAGTCCTGTGGGAGGGAAGTGAATATTGCCATGGGCTTTTCTACCCAGGGGTCTGGATTTGTCAATCTTGGGAGCTCCTAAAAAAACTGCAGAGGAAACAAAAAATACAGGACTAACAAAGCAAACAAAAGACTAACCAACCAGTGGGTGAAACAGAAAGAAAAGGGCACAGCAGTCTTCAAACCACAGGCCTCTGGAGGCGTGATACTGAAATAGAAGCAGCTAGAAAGCAAACTGTGAAAATCATACTTTTAGAAAAAGTCACTTTTATAATTTTTCAAACATATTCTCTTAAATGAACTACTAGCCTGAAGTTGGAGGTAGGGTTCAATGGGTTCATTGGTCACAAGAATCTGGCCACTCTGGAGAGGGGAGATATTTAAATAACATTTTAAAATATAATTAAGACAAACAGGAATAGGCCTATTGAAACTCTGTTCGTGTGTGTTTTAGTCGTAATCCACCTTTATTCTGAAAAGACCGAAAAAGCATATCTTAAAACAGGCCAGCTCTTGGGGCAGGG